CCTTCATGAGGGAGTGGGCAGTACTGTTGGGAGGGCAACATGGAGCTGTTGAGTCCTCTGTAGCGCCTCTCACATGTGGAGTACCTCAGAGATCTATTCTTGGCCCCCCTTCTGTTTTCCCATTATTTACTCCCTCTGGTATATTTTATCTGGAAATGTGGTTACCTTTCATTTTTATGCTGATGACAGACAAATTTATGTTCCATGAAAACAGGATAAACAGTACTCTGTGAACCAACTCCTGGAATTTGTATGGCAGAAGTCAGAGCATGGATGTTACAGAACTTTTTACATTTTAATGAGAAAAAGACCGAAGTCTTCTTGTTTAAACCCAGTGATGGTTCCAAAGTCCATGCTGATCTGGGTCCTTTAACAAAACATCTGACCGAGCCAGCAACTAACCTGGGTGTGAGGCTGGACAATGATTTTAAAATAGATGCACAGATTAAATCAGTGGTCACGTCCAGTTTAATCACTTGAGACAACTGGCCAAGGTCAAACCATTCCTGTCACAACATCATTTTGAGATTTTAATCCATGCTCTCATCACAACTCATCTGGACTACTGTAATTCACTTTATGTGAGTCTGAGCCAGACATTACCGACTCGACTTCAGCTGGTTCAGAATGCTGCTGCTCGTCTTTTAGCTGATACCAGAAAACGAGAGCACATCAGCCCTCTTTTAATATCACTACATTGGCTCCCAGTTTGTTTCCGGATTAATTTTAAGGTTCTTTTATTTGTTTTCAAATGTCTTCATGGTCTCGCCCCACAGTATCTGTCTGACCTGCTCCACTTGTACGTTCCCTCACATGCGCTCAGGTCAGCAGATCTGCTGCTGTTGGTCATTCCAAAGTCTAACAGGAGGCTGAGAGGTGACTGAGCATTCTCAGTCGCTGCCCCTAAACTGTAGAACGAGTTGCCTTTGCACGTCAGACAAGCTGACTCACTTCCTGTTTTTAAATCTGCTCTGAAAACACTTTTTTTTTCACTTTGTCTTTTAACTCAGCTTGAAATGTTGGTTGTACTTTTTTAAATTTATTTATTTTTATTGGTTTTACTGTTTGCTGTTTTTATGATTTAACAGTTTATTAATTTTATGGTTTCAATTGATTTTATAGTTTTATGCTTGGTTTTATGTGTTATTGTATAGAACTTTGGGCAGTGGTGTTGCTTTTAAAGTGCTTTATAAATAAAGTTATATTGTATTAATGGTATTTGACGTGGTGCTAAAGTTTTCGATTAGTTGGTATTGGTTGGCTGAATATTCAGTCCACCTCTACTTTCAAATGCTACACTGTTGCTACACATTTGTTCACCTTTTTGAACACCTTCCCGTTGCTCTGTCGCTCATCTTCCTCACTGATCACCTCCCTTGTACCGAGACAGTCTCTGTTGGGGAACCTCATAGCAGAGTACTCAAACATCTTATCCAGAGTGTCCACTCCTGGGTGCAGTGATGTAACAAGTCTCTTTGTAGCACTAACGGCTCTGTAGGGTCCTTCTGGATGGCCCAGAACTGAACGAGCTTTAGCTCTCTTGGCTCGCTCCTCTTCTGAGCCAAAGAAGTCCTCCTGAGATCTTGAACCCCAGCTGAGGAGGTAGGAAGGCAGGAAGGTGACTGTGGTGTAGATCCACACCATGAGGTAGAAAAGAAGCACCAGTATGGGGTTGAGGTCCTCTTTCAGCTTCATCTTGTTCTTTGTGTGAGACACAGGGATGTTAGGGTGTGGAGTTAGATGCAAACTCAACTGTAGGGATACTCCTGCTTTATCGCCTCTTTTTCTCTATAAGGATTGAGTTCCCTCTTTGGAAACAACACTTGTCCAAAGTCCTCCTAGGAAAGAGAAGACAATAATCTGGTGTTAGAACAGCAACTTGAAGCATTTGGTTAAATCCTAATGTTTGCAGGAAACTCGTTCAAAAACAAGCAGGAAGTCATGTCAACACATGAAGCAAAATATTTTAGCCTGATGCATGCTCAATAATCCAGGTAGAAAAATCTAAAAAAGTTAAATCTGGTCCTCTGGACATTCAAAAAAACAAAACAAAGCAAA